CATTATTTTATTTACAGTGCGTCTTACATGTATACAAAGTATTTATATATTAAAATAATAATAAAAAAATTATTATTATTTTAGTGGGCATTTATTTTTAAATGCAACGTGTACAGCCGGATATCCCCCTACTGACAGGTCGCGCTCTGAGACACCGGAAGTAATCGTCGCTTTTGGTGACGCTGCATTAGACCTCAAGACATGGACCGGTCTAGTGAGTAGATTCCTTTACAAAACGCCGAATTTAATGTCATTTCTGTGCATCTTTGGTTTTATTCATGTCGTGTAAGCTATTGTTGAAATGCAGGTTTTAGCGTTGGTGGAAAAATACCGCTCTGTGCTCGCAGTGTGCCGTTTCCTACTGACGTTAGCTAGCTGGCTCGTAGCTAGACCTGCACGAGCGAGCGTTACTTGAATGAATGAATTGTCTGTTGAGAAGCTATTATAAAAATGTATTATTCTGTTTATTATATATTTAATTTTGTGTTTATGAATTCACCTTTCGAGCAGCAGCCGGCGTCAGATTACTTAGTCCATGCTGTGTGTCCGCAGGGCTGTTCGGGTTGTTCCTTCTCAGCCTGGCTCTTTCCGGAGCTCAGGCGCTCACACCGTCACATTACCTCTCCCTGTCTGATGTGGCCCGACTGCAGAACCTCCTGAGCCAGCAGTTCACTGACCTGGAGTCCGCATACTACTCAGTTGTGGGTCTGACCAAGCTGGGAGCGACAGTTCCCGATCACGAAGTGAGAAAAACAGTCCTTCATTATTTGCATATGTAATATATGGACTCTAGACTCCCATCGGTCTTCACTATGTGGCTGTTTTGCGTTTGTTTGTTTTTAGGATGTGTGCCAGTTTGTGAAATCTCAGCTTGATTCCACTAGTGTTGATTCACTCTTCTTTGCTGCTGAGATCAGTCGTGCCATTTCAGGATGTGAGGTATAAAAATATTTCATGGTGTCTCTGTCTGTTATCTCTTCTTTCTGTTAGAGCTAAGTGTAACAGAAATGCATGAATTAAATTTGTGTGCATTGTTTTTGTTTTTAACTCTTTAGATCCCTGTATCCAACGAAACCCGCGACCTCCTCCTGGCTGCAGTCAGTGAAGATTCGACCATGACTCAGATTCATCGGGCTGTGAGTGCTCTCAGCTCTCTTGGGCTTCCTCTTGCTTCCCAGGAAGTTGTAGGTTCCCTGACAGCCCGGATCAACAAAGAGGATAATGTTATGGCGTAAGTGTTAGATGCTTTTCAGTTGTCATTACCCAAAAAAATATAATAAAAATAAAGAGAGTCTATGCATCTTATTTTACAATAACTGGGTGTTCTCTTTGGACAGCATCACCATGGCTCTGCAAACAGCATCCCAGCTTTCCCAGCAGGCTGAGCTCGGAGGAATACTGGAAGAAATTGAGGTGAACTTTAAAACTACCACCAGATGGTGCTGTCTCACTACTTTTTGATTTATAGCAAGAAATCCTATATCTTCAAAAGGGGGCCCTATTGTATTTACTTATGGTTTTATATTTTTATTCTTTGACCCTAGAAGGACTGCTTTGCATGATGTAAAGCTGCAATTGATCAACATTTGTGTTGCACTAGGCCTTGGGACAGCCTCTTTGTTCAAATGAAGCATTTTAGCTTCCTTCTGATTGGCTTCTTTTTACAATCACAAGGTGTGAACAACAGATGAGCTGAGCAAGTCAGTGATATCCTCTCTCAGTGACAGTAAGGAGTCGGGAGTAAAAAAAACCTCTGAAGTCTGAACTTTTGACTCCGAGGTGTTACTATTACATATGCTGACCTTGGCTTTGTTTAATAAGAGTATCTATCACTGCAACAATATACACGACAGAAATTAAGGTAAATTCTAACCCCCCTTCTGATGGCTTTTCCCTTCCAGGATCTGACAGCTCGCTTGGATGACCTCGGTGGCCTCTACCTCCAGTTTGAAGAGGGACTCGAAGCAACCGCCATGTTTGTGACCGCTGCTTATTCCCTGTCAGATCACATGGACATGGAGCCTCCTATCAAAGAGGTCTGATATCTGTTTGTGAGGTGCTGTACCAGCTGAATTTATATCGATTTGGCTTAGTATTGATGGCAAATGTTCTCTTCACACAGGATCAGGTCATCCAGCTGGTGAATTCTATCTTCAGCAAGAAATCCTGGGACTCTCTGGCTGAGGCTTTCAGCGTGGCAAGCGCCGCCGCTGCTCTGTCCGGCAACCGCTTCCACGTACCGGTAGTCGTCACTGCCCAGGGCCCAGCTACTGTTTCCCACAGCCAGCCAACCCTGCAGGTACACATGATGGATCGTGTTCTATCTACAGCCCTCAGTGTGGTTTTTAATCACCTCGCAGTCACATCACCCTGTCTCTCTCTCTTTCTGATTCACAGCTCCTTGTCACTGACGTCATGTCTCAACCACTAGACTCAGCCAACGTGGTGGTGGAATCTGCATACGCTGTGGCCTCGAAGACTGCCATTCTCAACCAAGCACCATTCACAATTAATGAGTACGTATAAGAATCCAGATGTATGTTAGCTGTACAGTCGTCTCTCAGGTTCCCCAGAAGTTGAGATTTATCCCCAACGACAGGGTAAACTCCAGTATTAAAGCAGACAGTTGTCATTGGCTGTAGATTGTGTTTCTAATCCTCTTTACACAATATCCCAACGTACTTTCATTTTACAGTAAATTGTGACTGCAACCCCAGCTGTTATACTGAGTTCTTCTTATTTTCTCCTTTTCAGCGGCGTCTTTGAACTGAACTTCATGTCCAGCCAGCCAGCCAGCGGATATTACCAGTTCACCATTGCAGTGACCGGGGACAGCCGGCTGGTTGCCAATCATGTTGAGGTAAGTTTTTTCTTGCTACATTTAGCTGGAATTGGCATGCATAATAATAGTCATTGTTATTTTTCCAATCAGTGGTTCTTTATTTAGGTTTACAGTGACCCCTTTTCCCTTTTGTCAGAGGTATATGTAAAATAAATCCTTGTAATGACACACGATCAGAACAATAAGAAAAGTAGTCTTAGTCCCCCCTTAACTAATATGAAATATTTGCCTGAGGCCTGTAGTGTGCACCTAAGGTCACTTTTAATTGCTGCTGTTTTGAAGCAAATATGTGTCTTGTTAGTGTTTGCAGAGCAAAGCAACAAGCAAATATGAAAAAGTAAAAAAAAAAGTGAAATATGTTGGTCACATGTTAGGGCAGTGGTTCCCAAAATTGTTTTTGCTGGGCCCCCCTTTGTTTTACAAGAACAATGTTCACACACGCGCGCGCACAAATACATCCTCCAACCACACACACCTATATTTTGCTCCATTGCGGTTTATTTCACACCTCAAACATTTAGTAAACAATTAAGCAAATACAAGTAATCTGCAATAAATTACAGGTAATAATAAAATAAACTACTAACTCTTGTACGCTGCGTCCACACCTACACGGGTGTTTTTGAAAACGCAGCTGTTTCTATGTGCTTGGGCCTTTCGTCCACACGTAAACGGCGTTTCGAATCACCGAAAACTGAAATTTTTTTAAAAACTCCTTTTTTGTTCGTCATGCAATGTCAAAGGTATGTGCCTTATTTCACGTCACGCTGTGCGCCACGTTATTGTTTACATGAGATGAATTGCAGAATGGCAGATAGAGACAAAATACTGTTAATCTGACTATCTGCAGGTTTTACACGCTTACATACACACACAGTTACTGTCCCTCCATTTAGAAAGGCAGAGGCGTCACGGTGTGATTATTTTACGTGTAGTTTTTTTTTCCTGTGTAATAATATTCAACATTACTATCAATACATTTTTCAAAAAATGCCTCTCTGTGCAAAATGGGTTTAAAAACATAAACATCTGTTGGATGCTGTTTGTCTGTGATTTGAACTGAGGGAACAAATCGTGGCAGCCTGATATTATTTGTATCCCGCGGTAACTTTACTGTATAAAGAGCTAACATCTCCAAAATGTCAGGAGTAGTTAGTCATTACAACAAGTGTTTGTGAACTAAAAATCAAGAATGTGGGATACTGTTTGTCTGTGATTTGAACAGCCCAGCACTGCTCCTGACGCAGGGAAAAGCAATTCTGCAGGGAGACCTACCTCGGCACTTGTGCAGGTGAAGCCAAAGGGAAGATTTGCTTCACCATATTTTCTAGTCTTTGGCTTAGAATGAAGTTGTTTTGGAAACATATTCAGCTATGCTTCATCTCCTGCTTTGCGTTTGTGTAGGCGCCCCGTGCTAGCAGTGTCCAAGCCTCCCCCCCTGCAATGGCTCTGCACCCCCCACTTTGGGAAGGTCTGTGTTAGGTCATGTCGCGTCTCTTTCTTCATCATCCTCGTCTTTATATGTAGCCACAAACGTCCTCCCAGCTGTTATACTGTTATTCTACCTTGAAAGATGACATTACCCAGAATACCATTCTGTAAATATGAAAGATTTGGAAAGTGTTCATATTTCAAACACTGTTATGTGCTTTGATTTCAGGAAGCTGTTGATTATTAAAGCAAAACTTATGTGAATAGGTGGAGATGTTTGGCCATAATGTACATCTACCATGTTTGGGAAAAACCAAACACGGCACATCAGCACAAACTCTTCATAGCAGCATTGCTGCCACAGAACTTGAACAGTTTACAGTATTTCACAGTCGAATGTGAGGCCGTCTTTCTGGCTGAAAGAGAAAAGAATCAACATGTTTAAAGGTCCAGTCAAAGCCTAGAACTCAACCTGATCAATATGCTGTTGATCTTAAGAGAGCTGTGCTTAAATGAATGCCTTAATCAAATATAGTCAAACCTCAATGAGCTGAAGCAGTTTTGTAAAGAAGGGTGGGGTCAAAATTCCTCTACAACGATGTAAAATCCTGTAAAATCCGCAATAGGCAGTTTGGTTTATTGAGTGCTATTTGACTTATTATTGACTTAATATTCATATAATTAAAGAAATTACTGCATGTATGCTGATACATCTGGTGTACTGCCCATCCTACTAACCAGCAGGCTGTTTGTATTAATGACAAAGTGCCTGCTGTTGGGCTTGTGGAAACGATGGTCCTCTACAGCTTCAGGAGCTTTCTTTCCCTGCTGATGTTCAGTTATGGCAGAAATCAGAATAGTTTTGGTCAGTAATGAGTTTGCAATTATTAACAAGAGTGCTCTACAATCTTTATGTATTTCCTAACTTAAAAACATGTTTGTTTTTCATCAGATTGAACTTTAGCTACAATCTAACTGAAAACCAAATAAATGAAACTCGATCAGGGAGATGTGGTTATATAGATGATCTTGTTTTCTACATAGTTAAAAACAAAAATTAGAAGAACATATTTGTGCAGCTCTTGTTCATTCATATTGAGACATGACAAAGCTGGAGGGTGGGGTATAACAGGATACTGCGCAGTATGTGGGAACAATGGTGCACGTCATCAGACAGTCTCTCCATGGAGACTGTCAGGATATTTCACCTGGTTGTTCACAGGAGAAGTGCCGTAAAATGCTCTGTGTCCAATGGAAAAGGGAACACGAGAGAGAGCGAAGTACGACATGAAGTGGATGTGAACCCAGTTACAGAAATCGTTGGACAGACCACTCTAACGTGGTGCTGGTGTGTGTGTGTGAAGTATCTGCTGCACCAGTGTTTAAAATTTGTGTTCATTCAAGTCCAGCAGCTTAGAGAAGGAAAGCAGAAGAAAGGAAAACAGGGATCCATCATTTCTTAAATGAATAAATAAATAATTATGTTTATAAGGTTCTCATCAGCAAATATTTTATTTGCCATGTACTTTGTGAAAAAAAAAAAAAAGTAAAATCATATGTCAGTCCAGCAAACCTCTGATCCAAGGGATGATGGCACCGTCTTGAAGTTGGCACTTGTAGTTCTCATTTTGCTCTTTTGCAGTCTCGGTGTAGTCACGTATGGACCAGCTCTCCATCTGCTACACATTTTGGTTGGAGTGGTCCTCCAGGGCTGCTGATGCAAGCTTTGGTCCAGCTACTGTGGAGTTGGATTCTGCGATCCTCTCTGGGGAAGCAGCTGAATGCTGTTGAGTTTTTCCACAGTAGCATATTAAACCATATTAAGGAGATATTTGAGCAGTGATTAAACATTCAAAACAAGAGTAAAGGGATTGTCCACTCCGTTTAGATCAATCACAGATGTATAGGATGTGATTTGCATCCACCCAGGATAATCTGTTCAGGCTTTAATATACCCAGGCTGCCTGCCCGTGTGCAGGCTGTGTGGGGAACCACTGAAGTCTCATTGCATTGTTTGTGCACACACTCTGACTATTGTAGTCATGACTCTACTTTGTACTCTGTCTCCACCTGTAGCTTAAAGTGAAGGTGTCCACAGAGGTGGCTGTGACCAACATGGACCTCTCTGTGGTGGATAAGGACCAGAGCATCGGCACAAAGACCACCAGGTTGGAAATCAAATTTAAAAAGTGGTGCCAGCTTTTGTTGATCCACCGTAAGAGGAAAGTAAAATACTAAATGATTTTCATCTGTTTTTGTCTTTTCTTTTTTGTAAATACACATGCAGGGTGGACTATCCTTCCAAAGCTAAGAGCTCCTTCACAGCAGACAGCCACCAGAACTTTGCCATGTCCTTCCAGCTGGTTGACGTTAACACTGGAGTGGAGCTCACGCCTCACCAGGTGTGTAATCAGAGTGTGACAGGAACACATGTCTACAGCAAACTGCTGACAGAACACTTGTTTCTGACTTCGTCTGCTTTTATAGTCTCGTTTGTGACCATGCGGCCTAGTCAAACGCAAGAAGACACACTGGTTATGGCAGGAGGGTGAGCTCAAACCCTCACTTGATGTCAAAAACCTGTTTCTTGTCCATGTTGCAGACCTTTGTGCGGCTGCACAATCAGAAAACTGGCCAGGAGGTCGTGTTTGTGGCCGAACCCGACAGCAAGAACCTGTACAAGTTTGAGTTGGACACAGCCGAGCGGAAATCGGAATTCGACTCCATCTCCGGCACCTATTCTCTCTACCTCATCGTTGGAGACGCCACTTTAGAGAATCCCATCCTGTGGAACGTGGTGAGTGTCTGAGGCCTGTTGGCGATAGCGAGTCCTCGCTGACGTAAACACTGCTCACCCACTTTTAATCTTTTGAAAGGCCGACGTCATTCTGAAGTTCGTGGATGAGGAGGCGCCGGCAACAATTCAACCTAAGACTCTTTATGTACCCAAACCAGAGATTCAGGTACTAGTTATGCTCTCTTAACATCTCATTTACTGGCTGATGATGGAATGAAACCAGCTTGATTTTAACAATCTCCTCATGTTTGTGCAGCATCTGTTCAGGGAACCTGAGAAGAAGCCCTCCACAGTGGTTTCCAACACCTTCACTGCACTCATCCTGTCTCCCTTCCTGCTGCTGCTCATTCTGGTAATAATAATAATATGTTTGTACAAAATGTTTCCCTTTTTTTTATTTTTCACTCTCCATCTAGCTGTGGTTTCGTATACGTATGGGAGTAATTTGCTATTTAAAGAAACACACCTACAAACAAACCTATTTCATTATCAGTCCAAGCTTTCCCTGATAGCGCGTCTGCTGTGCTATTGCTCTGTGCAGTGATCTTTTTTTTCCCCTCTTGAAAAGCTCTTCAGTACGAAGCCTTCACAGACAGTGAATGAGACTCTACTCCACTATGACTATAATACTTGTTTTAATTTGAAATCACAAAAGCTATAGTGTATTTTTTCCCCCTGGCATTTTCAGTGATGAATAATAGTCATTGTTGCCGTGGATCAGTTCATTGTGCGTTAGGTGGTAAACAATTTTTTTTTGGCTCTTTTGTCCTCTTGCAGAGGACGAAAAATCACATTGTGTTTTATTCCCCTCTCTCCTCTGTAGTGGGTCAAGCTCGGCGCCAACATCTCCAGCTTCAGCTTCTCTCCGAGCACCATCCTGTTCCATCTGGGACACGCAGGTTAGTCCCCGTGTTTGAAATGAAATCTTTTACTCTTTTTTTCCAGCTTCTCTG